TCTGTCTTAAGGAGTGAAACCAATCACACACCTGTCAAACCAATACAACGTATGCAACATTTCAATTACAGTACACTCTAAATCCTGCCATTTGCCCCCCTTTAATCTGAATTGAATGAAACTTGGTCTGTATTTTCAGATGTTTAAACCAGGGGTCTCATTTATAATCAAATAAGGCTTGAAAGAGGCTTGATGGGAGAAACTTTTCCCCCAGCTTACGAACATTTTGGAGATGGGAAATTGGCCACGCCGTTCAGATTATTGCAGAAAATAAACTCTGTGGCAAATAAATGTTCATGATATACTCACACGTCCAGCAAGATAATCTCCACAGATGAACGTCACTTTAAGATGTAAAAAGCTTATGTTTGGCTATAAGCAAACTACAACGTAGCCACATGTCTTCACATCGCCCATGCAGCATGGCTGTAAAGTTTACAGCCATGCTGCAAGGGCGATGTGAAGACTACGTTGTTTACAGTGTAAACCCATGCTGGCGAGATGACGTTTTGTAGTCTCACGTATAGCAACACAGTTATACCTCTCATTAAAGCCACATGAACTCAACAATTTCACCACACTGACCTCCTGCCTATCAAGTGTCAAGGACTGGATGGCAGCTAACTTTCTTCAATTCAACAGTAGCAAAACTGAGGTCTTGATCTTGGGCCCAGAATGTCATAAACAACAGATACAGTCTTCTCTTGGTTCACTCAGTAACAATGTTAAACCGGTTGCAAAGAACCTTGGTGTAATTTTCAACAGTAACTTATCCTTTGAACACCACATCGGAAAGACAACTCAAATTTGCTTCTATCAGTTAAGAAATATTTCAAAAATCAGACACATGCTCAGCTACAACAACACAGAAAAAGTTATTCACGCTTTTATATCATCACGCCTGGACTATTGTAACTTGCTCTTTACCTGCTTAAACTGTCACTCAGTTTCACAACTACAGTTTATTCAGAATTCAGCAGCTAGATTATTAACCAAATCAAGAAGGTCATGTCATATCACACCAATCTTAGCCTCTCTGCACTGGCTGCCCATTAATTTTAGAATTCAGTTCAAAATTCTATTAATCACCCATAAGGCAATTCATGATCTGGCCCCAGAATATATTAAAGAACTTTTAACGGAGTACTCACCAGCCAGACCTTTGAGATCAGAGGAGCAAAATTTATTAATGGTTCCTCACTCAAGATTAAAAACAAAGGGTGACCGTGCTTTCTCTGTGATGGCCCCTTGCTTATGGAACAGTCTTCCCCTCAGCGTAAGATCAACAGATTCCATCACAACTTTCAAAAGCCTTCTCAAAACCCACTTCTACACTATGGCCTACAACTGTAGGCCATCACATATTATGTTTTATGGTTTTTACTGTCTTTTGTGTTTGTTTTATTTTGGAAAGCACTTTGTGCATGGCTTGAAAAGTGCTTCATAAATAAAATTATTATCATTATTTGTTGGCAACCACTTATTTTAAGACACACAAAAGCTTCAAATAAACAAGTGGGGTATTTAGTGACGTACTTTATGTGGTAGAACAAATTGTGAAACTCTCTTAAGCTTGTTTTAACCACTAACCTATTTTCAGGTATCCAACCAAAAACCCACTGAAAAAACTCACTGACACAAGGTAACTGTGACAGGTATAATGCTAACACATTTTCGGGTTTTAGTACCAATTCCTGGGCTACTGTATTTGCACATCAATTCCATTTATTGAACCAAGTTTCATATTTCTAGCTCAGGGGTGGCCAACCCGCGGCTCGCAAGCCGCATGCGGCTCTATGCCTATCAGTCTATCAGTCTTCGATCCATTAAAAGGACATTTTTAGCAGAGTGGGAGAGTGACTCTGTGTGAGGAGAGTATGAGAGAGGGAGAGACTGTGAGGATAGAGTATGAGAGAGGGAGAGACTGTGTGTGGATGTGTGTGGAGAGAGTATGAGAGAGGGACAGACTGTGTGTGGATGTTTGTGGACAGAGTATGAGAGAGGGAGAGACTGCGTGGAGAGAGTATGAGGCGGAGAGACTATGTTTGTGTGTATCTCTATTCATAGTAATTCATTTGTGTGTGAGATAAATAAATCTGGCTTTGGAAATTGGAAATGTATGGATTTAGATTTTATGTCCTTTTGTGTTTGTGTGAGAGATGGAGTGCGTTTGTAAGCACTAGGGCTGTCAAAATTGCTCCAAAATGACATTCGAATATTCCTTCTAAAAATAACTCATAGGTTCGAACCATTCAAATTTTTTTTCCGCATTATGTCCACAAGAGGGCAAACTAATACAAGGAAACATAACTAGCCTACTTGTAGGTATTTTTAGTTCAACATAAACGTCTTTGAAAACATGTACATACCTACACATTAAAACACATAAAACAATTATCTATAACATTACGTTATATTAAGACCGCGGACCTCTCGCTTGCCCCCCCTCTCTGACCCGTCAGGCCACACCGCTCGCAGAAGCGCTGCGAATAGCCTCGAAGCGAAGCCAGTTTCCTTTCGGCGCCCATGTTAACTGATTGTGTCATCCACACCGGCTGCGCTGCACCGCGCCGTGCAGCTCCGTGGCCGGCTCTGGTGTATTTGTGCGTGAGCAAATGTGTCAAGCCAGGTGACGGAGACAACAGCTGGGAGCAGAACTGCTTGTCGACCAGCATGGAGAAATGCGCGTCTGATGTGAACGGAAATGCTCCGGCTCGTGCGCTGCGCTTTGCAGCACCTCCACGGGCGGTGTGGCCTTATGCAGTGCGTTCGGTGCAGCGGCCCAGGCCAACGCCCACTCGCAAAGAGGACAGCTGCGGTGGTGTTTTTTTTTTCCTCCACAATCGAATATCAATTTTCACATTTGAAGGTCCATTTTTTTCAAATTCAAATTTAAATTCGAATTTAGAATATTCGTTGACAGCCCTAGTAAGCACACGTGTATGATGTGGCTCTTTGTAGTATCATGGTAATGTTTGTGGCTCTTGGTCTCTGACTGGTTTGCCACCCCTGTTCTAGCTCATTCCTGCTCACTGCAATTGTAGCCTCTGCATTAGGACTGCACGATTAATCGTAATAAAATCGTGATCTTGATTCATATGCATATGCAATCTAATTTTTCAATGACGGCGATTCAGCCGGCCCCACCCGTGCCAGGAGTCAGGACATCATCTGCATGAAAACAAGCGCTCCCAACGACGCAGCTTTATACCACGTGATGCAGAGCGACAGCCGGCCGGCCGGCCGGCAGTCAGTCAGACAGTCAGACAGTCAGACAGAGCCTCTCAGTCCTTAGCCGCTAACGTTAGCTCATGTACAACACAGGTACCACACAGAAACTTTTACAAAGGGTCATAATGTGCTTCTATTGACTGTCAAATCGCCAGCGAAAGTTGTTTACACTGCGGACACGGAGAGCATGGGACAAAGATCCTCTGAGAAGAAAAACGGATCACTCTGCTCTGCCGCCAGGAACAAACTGGGAGGAAAAGATCCTCTCTGAGTAAGAGGGTTCACTTTGCTGCAGGGTTCACCAAAACGTTTTTTTTCTTTTAATAAATTGAACACACATTAAAGAACATACAAGAACCTGTAGAGAATTAATACATATAATACAATACAATAAACACTGTCAAATTAAATGAAGGAAGAGGATATTTTTAAAGTCAAATAAAATATTGGGGATTTATGTAAAAATATACATAGAGACATATAAATAATTATATAATTAAAAATATGTAGGCTATGTTAGGTGAATACTCCTGTCTAATCTGATCTTCCTTAGTCCATTTAGACTTTTTTATCATAACAATAACAATGAATATTATGAATTGTTCACATTTTAATTTAATTTTAATAACATTTATCACACAGCATTTCGTGGAAAAGTCAAATGTTCAGTTTACAGTTTTAATAAACTCAGTACTGTTTTTCAACACATATATTGTTTTGTCTTCATTCAATGTAATTAGCACATATTGTTATTGCGCCATTGGTTTTGGCCTTGGTGTCCCACATTTTGGCCGTGATGCCCCAATAAATTTGTATTTATCAAAGGCCAAAGTGGCCTTCTAACTCACAAGGTTCACCAACAAAACAATTGTCTTACACTAGACATCTTTTCCCACAACATGCTTAAGTTATCAGCATGATCCTATAATATTTTACATAGCACAAATTACCCTTGTGGCTATCTACTTTCCTCTACTCATATGAAGCCAGGATAGATCACACACAAGACTTACAATGCTATTTTGTGGGGGTTTTGTTGTCTTCACTATTCATTGTTTTTTTTCTGTGAAATAAATGAAAATAAAGGCTTCCTTTCCACTAAGGGAAATGGTTTCAGCTGACAAACAATCAGGAAGTCTAGACAGATCTAGACAGAGCCTACACTGTTGGTACGGCATTGAGTCAATGCATACGTATAAATCCCGATAAAAAACATAAATTCCAAGTTAACCAAAGAAAAATCAGCAAACTTTTTGTTGCTGCTGTTAATGTTACATAGGCTATAAGCACTGCTGCAGGACCATCTCTGAGCTACTTTCCTCCCAGTCAGTTAGCCTGCCCAGTTAGCATGCAGGACCACAACAACAGCACAGAGCTGTTTAGCGGTCACTCACATCAACGTCTAAACAGCTCAACTCTGTCCCCTATGTAACTGTTGATGTCAGCCTTGCCATGTAATGCTAACAGTTAGCTCTTTCACTCTGTGTGAATGTGTGTGTGTGTGTGTATTGGTGGCACTATTTTTACCAGCACTGTATTGTGTTGCAGCAAAAGTTGAGCCAGTATCAACTATTTTGCTGAACAACTCTACATTTGCATCCCCTTGTGTCAACAGACAACTCAAATGAATAACAACACCGTATTTTTCTGTACAGTACTGTAGTATGATCCATCTTTAAAGCTGTGTTATCAACTGGGATTTAATCTGTTAACTTATCTAAAGAGGTGCTAATGTTATGTCTCTTCAAACAGGGACTGTATCTACATACCTGTAGCAGTAGTTGGGTGCTGACCACACAGTGAGCACTGTTTCGTTGAAGTGCCACTTGTAGCCCTCCATGACCAACTGGTGTGCTCGACAGATCATGTGGATGTCATTTGCAGCATTGAACTGGGCCACCACGTCACTCCCAAACAAGTAGCCAGCACCTCTGGGACTCACACCCCACCCTGTGGTGTCTGAGGAAGAAAAGGTCAGTCAAGAGAAGATCTGCTTCTGACATGGCATCAGGGTTAACCTCTGATAATTATTGCTGTATATTAAACTACAGTTCCACCACGGCTTTCAGTTTTCCTTTCATCAAACAGTCTCCTTGGACATTCATAAATGTGTGAGTAAACAGGGCTTGGCAGGATGCTTGCATACCTTCAGGGTCTGACCACAGTAGGTCACACATAGGCCCATCATGTGGAACTTCCTGTTTTCTGTCTATGGTTCGGATCTGGTCCAGTGTCTGGATAGAGGGAGACAAGCCACCGTGCACACAAAAGATCTGAAGAGATAGAAAGACAGACAGAGAAAGAGACAGAGAGAGATGTATCAACCAACTGATGGACTATACATAAGATCCTCAGAAACTGAGAAGTTACTTAACCATCTATTATTGTTGCAATACTTCCACAGAAACATTTAAGTCTCTGGGAATTTATAGCATGGATTTTAATTGTTATCAAAGTGAAAAAAATACTGCACAATGTATCTCACCTTGCCATCAATGATAGCAGAGAGGGACAAATAGTCAAATATCTCAGTGCAGTATCTCCAGACTGTGACTGAGCCGTATTTGCGAAGGCACTCATCATAGAAGCCATAGACCTGGGTGATTTGGCGGGACTCATGATTTCCCCGAATCAGGGTTATCCTGTCTGGATAGCGCACCTGGGAAGCACAGCAGAAGCAAAGAGATGAGGCCATGGGAATGTAATAAGCCTTCTGCATGGCTCAAGGGATGAAAATATATGCTCAAGAATGTAGAATATGTACAAGAAACAACACAGAGCCGCTTCTCCTGTTAAAAACATCTGTGAGATGTGCAGTACAGGTAGAGAGATATGACCGCTTTTCTGAAAGAAGAAACTTTATACCTTAAGAGCTAGCAGAAGAAGGAAAGTCTCCACACTGTAGAAGCCTCTGTCCACAAAATCACCCATGAAGAGATAATTTGTCTCTGGGACATCACCACCAACCTATCACGTAAAAAGAAAAAAAATTAGTTTAACATTGAGGTACTGTGAACTTGATGTAAATGCATCAACATTACATAGACACCACTGCCATTTTCACCTGTATCAAGCTTGACATAGAATCTGTTTGTTTGTACAAGGGAGAAGCACTCCTAGCATACAAATTCCATCTAACACATAGAGCATGTCCCTGCAAGCTCAATGCTAAAAGATTTATCTACACTTTGCTTCAAGCTGGCATGCCAGGTGTGGGCACTGTGATGACAAATCTCTTTAGAAAAACTTACATACAGAAATAACGATAAAATTTTACAAGTCTACTACAAGTCTGTAGTACAGTAGTGTATAACAAGAAACAGTTCTTACTCTAAACAGCTCTTTCAAGTCATAGAACTGACCATGTATATCACCACACACCTATGAGGAAAAACAAACAAACACAAAACCGGAGAAACATTATTACCACAATTAAACTACTTTTACCTACTTAATTCTGAGCAAACAACAGCCAAAATAAAGTGTTACATACTGTGACAGGAGAGTCTACTCGCTGGACATTGCTTTCTTCGACCAGGATCTCTCTGAAAGTACATAAATTTTGACTGATACACCAATTGACAGGTATATATTAAAACATGTATTTGCACGCGCACGCACGGCGCCCCCCTAATATAATGGTGGGGGAAACACTGATCGACATATAGATACACACACACACACATATATATACACACATTTATA